CCCCCCCCCCCCCCCCCCCCCCCCCCCCCCCCCCCCCCCCCCCCCCTGGTTAAATACTGTTGTCATGAAACTTAATGGTTTTAGCCTTTTAAATTGTTTTATGATAGTTACTTAGAATGGAAATGTTATAGAAGTACTGAGTTACACCTTTTTCATAAGGACGTCTTTGTGTAGTGTCTTAAAGGCACTGATAATACAAAGTTCCTGGAGTGTTAGATGGTGATTCATGTGTCTTTGTTCCTCTGCTCTAGATGGACTCAAAAGTTTAATGCTCATCCCTCTGACCCCAAGATGTCTTGCTATACTTTCCAAGTGTGGTTTAATTTAAGGAGTTGTTAACCTTCTAGGGAATCTTACTTTGTTATTTGGATTTGGTTGGTCATACACAAATTTCAGCACAATATCAATTGTGTTTGCACTGCTATTACTTCTGAACATCATCTTAATTTCAGATAATACTGAGAGTAAGCAATCAGTCTTTCACCTTAATTAAAGTCATGTAGTTTATCTGATTATGGAATTTTAACTTAGGATTTTCCTTGTTCTTCTTTTGAGACAGGAGCTCATGCAGCCTAGACTGGCCTCACACTCAGTAGGAGGCAGACTCCAAGGATGACCTTAAACTCTGGATCCTCCTGCCTCTACCTCCCAATTGCTAAGATTACAGGTGTGTGTATACCAGGCTTAATTAGAATTTTCTAGCAATTTTGTCACATGTACACATTTAGTAAAGAGAGTGGATTGATTTGGGAACTGAGACTACAGTTGCCATTTAAAAGATATTTTCTTAGCAAGCATGGTAGCTCACGCCTATAATCTCAGCACTTTTGAGACTGGGGAAAGAAGATGGCTACAGAGTAAGAGAAATGAACCAAAAGGCTTTCTTCTTAGGGATGGTGCTTAACTGCTTGTGAAGACTAAGGGACATGAACACGTTGTCAGTGATAGGTTCTAGTCAGTCAGCAGGAGTTGAGGTAGTATTGATTGTAAAGATGTCAGTATAAAAGATAGGCCAGTCAAGAGTTGGAGAGACAACTCAGCAATTAAGAGTATTTGCTTTTTTGGGCTGGAGAGATGGCTCAGCGGTTAAGACTGCTCTTTCAGAGGTCCAGAGTTCAATTCCCAGCAACCACATGGTGGCTCACAACCACCTGTACTGGGTGTCCAATGTTACCTTCTGGTGTGTCTGAAGACAACGACAGTGTACCCACATACATAAAATAAATAATTTTTTTTTTTTTTAAAGAAGAATATTGGCTTTTTTCCACAGAGGACCTGGGTTTGGCTCACAAGCAGCTGTGACTCCAGCTCCAGGAGATCCGATGCTCTCTCCTGGCGTCCTTCACAAGAAAGAGCAAAAAGAAAAACGAATTTTTGTTTGACCCCAGAATCTACGGCGATTATTATTATTTTAGGATTTTTGATTATTTCTTTATATGTATGGATTTTTAAAAGCTTTGTTATTTTTATTTGTATGTATGTGTGTATATCCACGTGGAGTATATATCTGTATGTGTTTGTGTGTGCCCAAGGAAGCCAGAAGAGGACTTCAGCTCTCCCAGAATTACAGTCAGTTGTGAGCCACCAAGTGTGGATGCTGAGAACTGATCTTGGAATCTTTGTAGAAGTGCACACTCTTGACCACTGAGCTGGTTCTAGCCCCATATGTTGGGTGCTTTGGCTACCTGTGTGTCTGTGCATCTCAAGTGTGCCTGGTGCCTGTAGAAGCCAGCAGAGGGTGTTTGGTCCCCTGGGACTGGAGTATGGACAGTGGTGAGCTGCTGTGTAGGACTCGCACCCAGTGCTATTAACTAAGCTCATTGTAGCACATTGCAGGGAAGCAGTGGATGATGGCAGGTGCAGAACTGTGTGCCTGCAGTTTGAAGTAATTTTTTTTTCTTTTCTTTTTTTTTCTTTTCCTTTTCTTTTTTTTTTTTTTTTCTTTTTTTTTAAGATTTGGGTCCTAGTGAGCTTTTGAGGCTGGTTTTGTAGCTCAGTTGGTGAGTGTCTTCTTAGCTATACACAAGGCCCTGGAGTAAATTTCCAGGGCCACATAAACTGCACTAATGCCATACTCCTGTAATTCTGGCTCTTGGGTAGCAGAGGCAGGAGGATCATTAGTTCAAGATCATCCTCAGCTATGTAGGGAACTTGAGGTCACCCAGGGACACGTAAGACTCTTCATCAAAACATAAAATGAAATAAAATTTTAAGCAGAGGGGAAATTGGTTAAAAAAAAAAGCTAGATTCTTGTGTAGCTAGTCTGGCATGTCTATATTCTTAGCACTTGAGAGAGAGAAATACAAGACATATTACTCAACAAGGACAGGCAAACACAGTAGTGACAGGGGCTAAGCTAAAGGCTTTCACTGGGTTATACGTGAACGGTTGTTAGATGTGATCTCTCAGGTCTTGAGATTGTTTTGCTTTTGTTTTTAATAGGCAGAAAAGATAGCATCTCAGATGATAACGGAAGGACGCATGAATGGGTTTATTGACCAGATCGATGGAATAGTTCATTTTGAAAGTAAGAACTTTTATGCATTCTCATCAAGTGAAATGGCAGTGAACTATTATATGATTAAAATATGTTGAATTATTTCTTTAGGCTCAGAATTATATTACTCATGAACATATGTCCAAAGGAAATAATTTAAAATAACCTTAGAAGGCTATATTTATGAATATTTTTTTCAACATTTCTAAGCTAAGGAAAATTAACTGAAATTGTGTCCATTTACTGTTTGTCGTCTGACCTTTGTTGAACTCCAGCCAGTGTGGCTCCCACGGAGTGACCGGTGCATTTCCCATTCAGAGACTCCTGAGCTACTGCAGGTGTGCAGGTGGGCGACCTCCACTGCCTGAGCCTGCAGCTCTTGTTCCCCTCCCCCTTCACGGCTGGGGCAGAGCCCTGCTCACTGAAGATGCTGCTCCCGACTGTCCATTTCCATTACTCCTGCCTTGTGTACAGCTCCTCTCTGAGGACGAGAGCCACTGTGTTCTCCGCCACTTCCTTCCAGTCAGTGCAGTCCTTTGTCCCTTCTGCTTACGTGGACCCTGTGATCCCTTGCTCGGTTCTCTTCTCACTGACCCCTAGACCACGTTCACGGCCTTCTTTTTCATTGACTGTTGTGATATGTGTATATGGATATCCACATATGTACATATTCCTAAATACAGCCTCCTCAGTCTGAGATGTTACTTGTCTGTGTTTTCAGGGCTGACCTTTTGGTATTGGATAAACAATTGCTGTGTTCTTCTCTGTGAAGACTGGTTCCCCCTCTCAGCTTCCCTCAGTTGCCTATGGGACACTATTAGAACCTACTGACCTTATGATACTCCACCTGTGCACGGAGACCCTTAGGCTAGTCAGTGTTGCTGGTGGACAGGCAGGAAGAGACACAGCACTGTGAGTTCAAGGTCACAGGTCCTCATTACTACCTGGACTCATGCTTCATTTTTCCAGACCATTCCATTACCTACATTGCAGTAGTTCCTTCAGGTTTGAGGGGGTTTTGTTTTTTACCTTTTCTTTTTCTAAAGAGAAAACCATTTCCTATTTCAAAGATGTTTTTAAACTGTTTTGATCAGATTTATGAAGCCCTAAATGTGAAGTCTAGGTGGCAGTGTGCTATCTTCTGTCCCCCTTCCCCTTGCTCCTGGTCCCTTCCCCAGTGCTGCTCTTCATGCACTTGCCAAAAGGAACTGGGTTAGGAGCCTGAAGTAAACACTGTTTGTTTTACCTTTTTAAAGTTCTGCTGACCTCTTTCCATTGGGCCTAAACACATACAGGTCTTCCAAGTAGAGCAGATACCTTTATACAGGCTTTTTCTTTTCTTCTGAATCTCTTGCTGCCCAGTAGCCCAGGCTGGTCCCTGATTTGTGAAGCTTCTCCCATCTCTGCTTCCTGAGCGCAGAGCTCACAGGGGTATGCTGGTAAACCTGCTTTAGGCTTTATCTTGGTTGTTGGTCACTTATCCTTGCGCACACGGCGCCACACCATGGCCATCCTGATGCTGTCAACTCTGCCATCCTGTCCTGCCCCTGCCTTCTTTCCTGCATGCCCAGCTGTTTCTCAAGTCATCTTTACGGACTCAGTGATGCCTTAGATTTAACATCAGTCACTTACGGCTTAGTCCCCGGCCTTTCCTGCTGCAGGCATTGAGTCTACCCCTTGATCCAGTTAGCATGTCTGAAGTAGCTGGATGTCCTTGTACCAGTCTCTCGTTCACAAACCTACAGCTCTAGATCACACCTAAGGCGTCTGTACCAGATTGTTGAATAGGGATTTAGGACAAACACAGGTCCAAAATTTGCTAGTTAGCCATTTAAAAGCTACATCTTCACTTTTTCTATAATTCCTTATTCTTAACTTCTTCATCTTCCATGTCCTATAAATTACAACTCCTAATGTTCTTAGGAATCCATGTACTTTTCTTATTTTTAAAACTTGTTATGTTTTTAAAACTTGTTATGTGTGTGAGTGTGGGTGAGCGCATGCATACCTTGGAACTTGTGTGGAGGTCAGAGAACACTTTTCAGTGTCAGACTCTCTGCTGTGAGTCCTGGGCTGGAGTTCAGACCATGCTCACACGGCCGGGCATTACCTGGCTGAGCCGCTTTGCTGCCCCTCCTCTTCTTTGTATTCCCTGTGACTCACTCAGAGCACTGCTGTCACAGCCTGTGAAGTTTTCCTCTCTACACTGGCTTTCTAACCTAGTTTCTCCACTGTAGCCAGAGTCATTGTGGTCTTTAAAAAATGAGAACAGGGCAAAGGGAGGAAAAACAAGTTAAATTAAGGGGGGGGGGGCCAGGGTGGCCCCGGAGTCTTGCAGTGGAGTCAGGTTCAGTTCTCAGCACCATCTGTAACTCCAGTTCTAGGTTACCCCTTTTTCTGGCCTCTGTATGCACCAGGCAAGGTCATGATACATATATATACTTACACACAGACACACACACACACGAAACTGTCATACACATAAAATGTTGAGTTTTTTTGTTGTTTGTTTGTTTGTTTGTTTGAGTCTTCTTAAAATGAATGAAGCCGGGCAGTGGTGGTACACACCTTTAATCCCAGCCCTCGGGAGGCAGAGGCAACAGATCTCTCAAGTTAGTGTTTCAAGTAGATTTTACGTTTTCTTTTTCTGTTGATGTTAAATTATTTTTTGGTGAGGTAGACACAGTCTCATGTGTAAATCCAGTGCTCTCCCAGTAGATGGCGGTATCGCCCCAGCAGACACTGAGGACCTGGCTCTTGAGTGAGGTTGCTTTGTGATCATCTTGTCTTGATAGGTCTTCAGTAGTTGATTTTGTTTTCAAGGGGATTAATAATAACATTTTTATTATATTCGATTTTATGCTTGGTGTTAGTGATTTGCGTTCTTTTTTTGAGACATTGTCATTGTGTAGCCCTCCTAGATGGCCTGGAACCACTTTGTAGACCAGGCTAGCTGCAAACTCACAGAGATCCTGCCTACTTCTGGCTTTTGAGTGCAGAGATGAAAAATATGTGCCACTATGCTTGGCCTGATCTGAGTTCTTAACACTTGGTTAATTAACATTTTTAGCCATGAGTTCAAGAATAAATGTCTTTTAAAAATTAACATTATTGTAATTTATCTTTTAGCCTTGATTTGTGAGTAATTTCTATCTTCCTATTATTTTATTCTTTCCTTAGCACGAGAAGCCCTGCCGACATGGGATAAGCAGATTCAATCACTTTGTTTCCAAGTAAATAATCTTCTGGAGAAAATTAGTCAGACAGCCCCAGAGTGGACAGCACAAGCCATGGAGGCGCAGATGGCCCAGTGAGTCCTCAGAGCTCTGTGCACACTGCGTCTCTCCATCTGCGGATTAATTCACTGCCCCTCAAAGCATCTGCATCATGACCTTAGACATTTCAGTCCTTTTTTGCCGGATCCCACTTGAAGAAGATGCTAGAGCAAGAAGTGCAGCATTTAAACATAGTAGCTCCCATGTAATCTGGGTCTGTGTATTGAAGTCACTCAGACGTTTTGAAAACTTGGTTCTTTAAGTGCAAGTGAAAGACCTGAAGTTTGGGATTTGCGATCACTTTGTAGTCATGTAAAACGGAAATGCTTTGTGCCTCTCCAAACGTGGTCACTCTAATAAATGGAGCAATGAGCCAAATAAAGGTAGTGCTTTGTTTTTAATTAGTGAAGTGCTTTGCTCCTTTTCTTTGAATTTAGAAAAGTTAATTTCTGTATCTTATGCTACAAATCCAAGCACAAGTTCGAGTGCCTGCCTCCAGCTTTCTGAGCCACAAGCTAAGGGTGTAAGCTGATGCCGGTGGTTACCCAGCAAGAGAGCGATCATTTAGCAGGAAACCAGCAAAGAAGGCTTCACAGATGTGAGTTCGAGTGTGATAAGTGGGGATGTGCAGAAGGAACTTTAAAAAGGGTGTAGATGACTTCTTTTTAGCCCCAGCAATGAAAGAGCTTTAAAGGGATCCACCCACTTAAGACATCAGGCAGGTTGAAAGGCAGTGTCTTAGATCCCTCAGAAAGATGAAGTCACAAAATGAATTGTCTCCACACCTGGACCAGTGGGCAGGATGCAGGGCTGTAGTTCATCAGCTAGGAGGAGGTGATGTTGCTGGAACAGTAACTGCTTAGCAACTGCAACCGAACTGACCTTCCTGCAGACCGAGAAAGTTGGGCATGTCCTATTCTGTCAAATGTTTCTCTGATTCATCACTTTGTCTGCCACTCAATTTACACATTTCTTTGAAACATGGGTGCTTTCTTCTACAAACTAATTTTACCTTTTTTTTTTTTTTTTTTTGAATTTAAAGTATGTACTAAGGGTGTGTCTGTTTTCCAGCCAGAGGGATTAAAGGTGCTAAGGACTGAACTACACCACAACTATAAACAGGTATTTTCAGTAAACAGTTCAGTCTCAGGGTTCACGCTGTGATCAAATATCCTGCAACAAAGTCTACCCTTTTTGAAATAATACCCAAATTATTTTCTATAAGACAGTCTTGACTTTTAAGGGAATTCCTTTGCCTGGGCTTTGTCTGACCTAGAGAATGAGTGTACAGTTCTAGCCTCCTTTACGTCAGTTTTCTGCCAGCCTAGGAGCAGTAGACATACTTCTGAAGTTCAAAGCCCAGGGATCCGAGCTAAATAAGAAGCAGACATACGGGGCCAGCACAATGACTCAGCTGGTAAACGCTGTTTCCAAGCAAGCTGGCCTGAGGTCACCCCTAAAGCCCAGGGAAGGTGATGGTGTCTCTAGCCCAGACACCACTGTGACGAGCTGCATGGTGAGAGACGCGGAACCGGCCTGAGACTCAAGCCAAGCCCGGTGTGGCAAACCAAGGGAGACCCTGCTGCAAAACAGGGTGGCAGGCAGAGAGCTACCCAAAGACCTTGTCTTCCAGGGCTGGAGAGGTGGCTGAGCGCTTAGAGCACTGGCTGCTTGCTCTTCCAGAGGTCTTGGGTTCAATTCCAAGCACCTACCCGGTAGTTCATAATCATTTGTTATTCCAGTTTCAGGGAATCTGTCCCCCACTTCTGGCCTTTGAAGGCACCAGTGGGGCGGCGTAGAGATGTATGCAGGCAAAACATACTTCCACATAAAAGATAAACACCTTGGGAAAAGTTTTTAAGCTTGTCTTCTGACTTCCACATGTACACAATGAGTGACACATGTATGGCTCTATTCACATGTACACCATACAAAGTTTAAAAAAACCAAACACCATAGTATTATAAAGTGTTTCCCAAATATTACCACAACATCAGGGATCCACTAAATTATGACTGAGAGTACAAGACAGACCCAGAGAAGGGATTCTGAGGGATTTTTCCTCAGAACAACTAGGAGGAAACTGTAGCATTTTCTTGTTAGAGCAACAGGGAACAGCCAGCCTAGTTCCTACTCAGGTCAGCGTGAAACCTACCAAAAACCTAAGGAACACTAGCCTGCTACATCATGTTGACTTCCAACCAAAAAATCCCAAACACCCCATGTGATGGTTTGTATATGCTCAGCCCAGGGAGTGGTAGGATTAGAAGGTATGGCCCTGTTGGAGTAGGTGTGTCACTATGGGTGTGGGCTTTAAGACCCTCATCCTAGCTGCCTGGAAGTCAGTAGTCTGCTAGCAGTCTTCAGATGAAGATGTAGAACTCTCAGCTCCTCCTGCACCATGTTCCTTCCTGGATGCTGCCATGTTCCCGCCTTGATGATAATGGACTGAACCTCTGAACCTGTAAACCAGCTCCAATTAAATGCTGTCCTTATAAGACTTGCCTTGGTCATGGTGTCTGTTCACAGCAGTAAAACCCTTAGATACCCCAAAAGATAAGACACCCATTGTAAGAGAAATTTCAGGCATAAGAACAAGACTAATATACAAGGGGGTAATTATCAGACCAGGAATCGAAAACAGCCGTGACTAACATGCCAGGGGATCTAATAGAAAAAGAATAGATAAACAGAAAGCTGGAACTCAGGATTGAAGTGCAAAAAATAAGCGCATGAGAGCACCCACCACGAACCAGGTGTGTGGTGCACTTGGGAGGCAGAGACAGGAGGATCTCTGTGAGTTTGCCATCAGCCTGGTCTACAGAGCGAGCTCCAGGACACCTGGGGCTCTTACAGATAAACCCTATACTGAAAACCATCATAAATAAATAAATAAATAAATCAGCCTTAGGTTAATTTTCTGTGAAGAGACACCATGACCAAGGCAATTCTTAGAAGGACAACATTTAACTGGGGCTGGCTTGCAGCTTCAGAGGTTTAGTCCATTATCATCATGGCAGGAAGCATGACAGCATGCAGGCAGGCATAGGACTAGGAGAGCTGAGAGGTCCACACTTTGATCCAAAGGCAGCCAGAAGAATCTCTTCTGCCTGCAGCCAGGAAGAGGGTCTCCTGCACTGGGTGAGACTTCAAAGCCGATTCCCACAGTGATGGACCTCTTCCAACAAGGCCACACCTCCTAATAGTGCCACTTCCCATGAGCCAAGTATATTCAAACCACCACAAAATAAATAGGAAAATAACAAAACAACAATAACAAATGCCACTGTTGAGCTTGTCATTAGACCGGAGCTGCCAAGAGAAGAGATAGCCTAAAGCTGTAGATGCTGGAGCTGCTGACAGGAAAAGCTTCCCAAGCCGAAGTGGCAAGTGGAACTGGAGCATGTGTAAGAGCTGTCACGCCAGAAATATCAGAAGAAAGTCTTCAGAGTTTTTCTCTGCATAGCCTTAGATGTCCTGGAACAGGACCAGGCTGGCCTAGAACTTGCTTTGTCTACCAGGCTGGCCTGGAATTCAGAGATCCACCTGCCTCTGCCTCCTGAGGGCTGGGACTAAAGGCGTGGGCCACCACTGCCTGGCTTCCTTTGTCTTTTTAAAGAAGACTTTTTTTTGTGTGTGTGTGTATGAATGTTTTGCCTGCATGTATGTATGATGTATGTGTGTGTGCTATATATGTATGTGTGTATGCATGTTTGTATGAGTATATGTTTTAGGAAATGTGTTGGGGTCCTCTGTGGGATCTGCAGGCAGTGAAAGCCATGGATGGACAATGTTTGGTGTAGAGGAGGAGAGCAGAGCCCCACAAGGCACCCTGCTTCATGAGCTGGAAAGGCAGGGCCAGAGTATTTACCATTGCTCTCTCTGACATGCAGGTGCCTAGATTTTATCTCACTGAAGTTTAACAATAAATGTCTTTTTTTTTTTTTTTTTTTTTTTGGTTTTTCGAGACAGGGTTTCTCTGTATAGCCCGGGCTGTCCTGGAACTCACTCTGTAGACCAGGCTGGCCTCGAACTCAGAAATCCGCCTGCCTCTGCCTCCCGAGTGCTGGGATTAAAGGTGTGCGCCACCACCGCCCGGCAACAATAAATGTCTTAAGTGGACACTTTACCTTCCTTTCTCCCTGACCCTAACAAACGAAGCGGACTCAAAAACCAAGTCACGGACTTTGACAGTGAAAGCTTTATTAGTACTGTTACAGAAATCATACACTTTTCCAGTGGGCAGTCACTCCTAGCTCTCAGGAATGTAAGGAGGAAGGCCCTCATGGAAGCTCAAGGCTGACTTTAGCTAACATGACTTTGGCCTTGAGTAGATTTGTCTCTTATGCACCTTAGGCTCATTTACATACACTGTCCTCCTTACTTCTCTTTTGTGTTCCAACCCCAGATTATGCTTTGAGCAATTTAAATAGGAATAGGAGAATGCAAATCCAGTCACTTGGAAGGATGGGAGATTTACATAGCAAAGGCGGCACCCCGGAATTATTTATCTCTGAAGTATTGCTCTTTTCAAACAGTTGTTACCCAGGTCCAGCTTGCCCACCTGTCAGGATTGTTTTCCTGATAGGAAGGAGCACAGGGGACATAAGGGCAGACCAAAACCTAATGGTGGCTGTCCCCTTCAGCTGCCTGTTAGAAGCAGGTTCTTTGGGGATGGGGCTTAATGGTTGCTAAATCCTGGTGAATAAACTTTTATGGTTTTGTATCGCAAATTTTGCTTATCTCTAGTGAGCCTGGTTATTGGCTATCTCTGAGGTATTTTGATGGCATTGCTTCCTTAGATAAATTCTACTTCGAGTGAGTTAATGTCTTCTAAGAAAATCTATTGGCAAGCCCTTTATACTAACAATTTTATTACTTTTGAATTTCTTCTCATATTTACGGCACAGTTTGCTGGGTCTGTGCACATGCAGGCCCGGGATGCACATGGCACAGTCTGCTGGGTCAGTGCACATGTTGATAAGGAACAGAGAAGGACTGAAAATGTCCACTGTCTGAGAAAAGGTCATTATCGGTAGATTATAGCTTCCATCCAGATCCCAACTCAAGCTTCAAGTATCAAAATGCTGAATCACGGTTGCTGAAAGTCTACCATCCAGACCCTGAACCATGGGTGGGAATGATGAGACTGTACCCTTAAAATTTATTAATGACAAAAGCATTTGAATGAAGGCCAAGATGCATAAAGCATGGAGGACAAGCTAAGGTGTGGCTGTGGCTGTAGCAGTTACTTAGCGTAAGAGGCCCTAAGGTTAATCCCCAGCACTGCACAACACAACAAAACACAACAGTCTTCGTAGCAAAATCTTTTTATTTGGTTTATATTTAAGATGTAATGTAAAAAAAATTATAAGCTGGAATATTTGATGATATGAGAGGAAGGAGAAACCATTTAAAATAAATCAAAAATCCCAATTTAAAAGGTTCCACCATTTTGTAATTAAATGTAATCTCAGTTGCCAAAGATTTGGAAAGACTCAGGCTGAAGGGGTGTGTGCTGAATTCAGCGGCTTCAGCGCAAGCTCTCTCCTGTGAGGAAAGAAGAAAACAGTTTCTGAATGTCTCAATCTACTTTTTTATTATTAATAAACATTAATTTACAGAATCATTTTAGAAACACTGAGAAGTCACACAGATCATTCAGAGCTCCCAGACACCCTGAGCCTGTTTTCCTGTTGGTTACGTCAGGTGTTAACGTGGGAGGGTTATCACAGCTGACAGCCAATATCAACACATTATTAACAATATGTTAACAACATTATTCAGAGACCTCTCATCTTTACCAAGCTCTCACTGGATAGTGAATCAGACTTCTCTTGTTGGTTTATTTGTATTTTAACTTTTTTTGTGTGTATGACTATTTTCCCTGCATGCCTGTTTGTGCACATGTGTCCCCAGTGCCCATGGATGCCAGAAAAAAACAGCAAATTCCCTGAAGTTACAGATGGTGTGAGTTACCAAGTGGATGCTGGGAATCGAACCTGTGACCTCTCTCTAGCCCTATAGATGGATTTGTTTTGTATGGAAACTGGGTCTCACATAGCCCAGGCTGGCCTCCTACTCACTCTGTACCAGAGACTGGCCTTGAACTCCTGATCCTCCTGCCTCTACCGCCTCCCTTCTCAAATGCTGGGACTGTAGGTGTGTGCCTATTTTATGAAGTATTGGGAATTGAACTCAGGGCTTTGTGCATCCTTGGCAAGCACTCTACCAACTCGGCTTCACCTTCAATTCTGTGTTCAGTTTTACTGTCAGTGAACAGCATAGGCTATCTAAGTTGACCACTGGAAGTCAGAACCATCGAAGACATTTTACTTCAAACCAGCTCAAAGATTCAGTGAGCTAATTTCTCTGAGATTAAAAACCAAAGTTCAGTTGTCCTGACTTGTTAGTATGTGTATGTGGTTGTAAGGTTTGTTGACACTGTCCAATGGAAACTCCTAAAAAAGCTGTGTCTGTCTGTGAACAAAAATCTCCTGAAAAGGCTCAGATTCTGCAGAGATGGATGGTCCCATTGGAATTTCAGTAATGTGGAGACACGTTCAGAGGTTAGTAACTTTGTCTTGGGCTAGTGACAGACTTCTGGGGCAGCCATTCCTTGCCCCTGTCTGTATCTGAACTTCTGTCTGTGATAATGAATCAAAGGAGCTCTTAAAAGCTATTCACTTAGCAGGACACTAGCTCCCACCAGTTCAAGAGCTAAGAAGGTCATCAGGTAACACCTTGGGCCTGTAAGACAGCATCCCTCATCTCACTGCGCCCACCTTTCTGGTGGTACCCACCCACCAGTGCAGTTTAAAGTTGCCTATCATCCTTTATGACTCTTTGTCCTGTAGAATTATAAAACCCTGTACAGCTGCTTCCGTGTGGGAACATGGCATTTGAGGTGACTTAGATCTGTGTTTCTGGGCTATGGCTACTCATAATGGCTCTGGAGTAAACTCTCTCTCATTCCTTTAAGGATGAGAGCTGTGGTTTTTATGTGGACAATGTATGTATTTAGCGGTGTCCCCATGTCTTTATCTCTGGCCTTTACCCTGCCCATTGGACCGTAGACTTATTGCTTTTCTCAAGTACGGCTCTACTCACTTAAAATCTCGAATTTCCCCATGCTCACCCAGCATTTGTATCCATCTATGGCATGCCAAGGCAAACTCACTTTTTAAAAAAATCTGTTGTTTCATTGTTTCCTTACATACACTGTGTGTTCCAGTCATATTGACCCAAGCCCATAAAGATGTATGATTTTTCCTTAAAAGAAACTTTTTTGCTCCATAGTTTCACAGAAGTTGTTCAAAGCCACCTTCTGTTTTGATTTATACGAATCACATGTGTCCACCCACTATAAGTCCCTGAGGCTGGCCTGAAAACTAGGACCACTCTTCCATGTTCCCTGGTTCTGGAAGGTTCTGCTCAGTGCAAGCCCAGGAGGGAGTCTCTGTGGAGGTCAGAGTGTTTTTAACTTGACCTCACCCTCAGGGTTGCCTTGGGTTGCTCTTTCCCGTTGCTTCGTGGGGCACTTTCTTCACATGGCCTTTCCTGAGGGATTCTGGGAACTGATGCCTCTTTACCCTGGGCCTTAGAGGAAGTAACAGCAGCTCTTGGCCAGGTAATTGCGCTGTGCCACCCAACTCCGCCCACAGCTGAAACCAGCCCACTCTGCTTCCTCTCACAGTCACTCTGGCGAACTAATGACAAACTTCTGTAGAACCCAAGCCCACTGCTTTCGAGAAACTGCGGTCCACTCCCCTACAGATTTGATCTTCCTATGGCACTCTGTCTAAAGGCATGAATACACAGAGTTCTATTTAGGGGTATCTTTTGAGCACAAAGCTGTAAGGACCAGAAACTAGTTCATCTTTGTTTACAGCAACACCTAGCTGATCTTTTTTTATGCAATACTAGATACTCAATACATTATGTGCTAAACTAATGAACAGCATTGAAGGCATCTTTCTTTCTTTCTTTTCTTTTTTTACACATCTTTCAAGAATTATTTAGGGCATGCTTAAGAGAGAGCTCAGCAGTCAATAGCATTTGTTCTCGCTGAGAAACTGGGTTTGGTTCCCAGCCCCACATAGAGGCTCACAACCAAAGGTACCAAAATAATTCTGAAAAGTTTATAAAACTTCACCATTATTTAGTAAATGTGGCTCAAATGAAGGAAAAATCGCCTTTAATCCTAGCACTTGGGAGGCAGAGGCAGGCGGATTTCTGAGTTCGATGCCAGCCTGGTTTACAGAGTGAGTTCCAGGACAGCCCGGGCTATAAAGAGAAACCCTGTCTCGAAAAACCAAAAAAAAAAAAAAAGAAGGAAAAATCAAAACCAATTATATTACATTATTGTAATGAGATGGCACAGGAGACTTAAGACACTGCCACTTCTGAATTGTTATTCCAAACAATGAATAACTTTCCCCAGCCCCTAATCCCTGACTCACCGTCCAGCTGGTTAGAAGGCGTTCATGGCTCTCCTCCTGTTAATATCTCTCTTGATTTGGCACAAAGAGCAAACAGGACAGAAGATGGTGGCCATGTAGTCATCACAAAGAGATCCCTGTGGAAGACACAGAAGACGAATGAATGAATGAATGAATGAATGAATGACAGCTAACACTGCTTGTGGATTTTGTGGGGCATTTTAAAGAGAGCCAAAAGCACCGAGTCTTTGGATTCTGTTTATTACTTCATACGGTTTCTTTACTTTGTGTGTGTGAGTGTGTGTGTGTGCATGCGCATGTGCGTGCGTGTGTGCGGGAACGCGCGCATGGAGGTCAAGGGGAAACCTGTAGGAGTCATTTTTCTCCCTCCACCCTGTGGGTCCTGGGAATTGAACTTGGGTCTTCCACTTTGGCCAGAAGTGCTTTTCTGTCTGCTGAGCCATCTCATTTGTCCTGGATTCAGTTTTGATACCTTTAGTAAAACATTAGCTGACTTCCATGCAACAATTGCTTCTTCATTCCAGTACTTTATAATTCTGAGAATGTAAGAGTCAATCAAACTACCAAGTCCAAGAGTCCAAGAAGGAGACTTAGAGCATCAGATCTCACAGCCAGGACGCCACTGGGCTCAAAGCAATTACATCAGGATGAAAAGTCCTGGGGCTGGGCTGGAGAGATGGCTCAGTGGTTAAGAGCATCGACTGCTCTTCCAAAGGTCCTGAGTTCAATTCCCAGCAACCACATGGTGGCTCACAACCATCTGTAATGGGATCTGATGTCCTCTTCTGGTGTGTCTGAAGACAGCTACAATGTACTCATATATAATAAATAAATAAATCTTTAAAAAAAAAAAAAAAAAAGAAAAGAAAAGTCCTGGGGCACGTGATGCAGCAAGCGGTTTGGGAAGAGATTTAGGGAAGTGGCAAAGAACTTGGGGTCAAAGTACTCCTAAGAACTAATTTAAAAAGTAAAAGTTTGGCCGGGTGGTGGTGGCGCATGCCTTTAATCCCAGCACTTGGGAGGCAGAGGCAGGCGAATTTCTGAGTTCGAGGCCAGCCTGGTCTACAAAGTGAGTTCCAGGACAGCCAGGGCTACACAGAGAAACCCTGTCTCGAAAAACCAAAAAAAAAAAAAAAAAAGTAAAAGTTTGGCAGGAAATGTAACCACACTCACTGTAAGTAAGATATTGACTGTGATAAATTTATAAATATAAAACCTGGACATGGAATCAGACAAAGGAACACAGAGCTGTCTGTGTAGGACGACATAGGGTGGGAACTGGGAAGGCAAGGGGACTAACGCCTCGTGTGCTCTGTGGAGTGTGTAGGTAAAGCCCACCTCGAGAAGCGAATATCCAAAGGAAAAGAGAAAAACATTGCTCTAGGCAAAGGAAGCCAGGGAATGGCAGTCTCTAAAATGAAATCATTTAAAGAACTATTTGCTCCAGGGCTTTCTTTCATCCATTAAAAAACAAATCCACACTAGGAAACAGAGAAATAAGGCCAAAAATCCTAAGCAATTTGGGGTAAATACAGAGCGGCTGAAACTCCATCCATAGAGGAGAAAGATCAAGCAGAGTCATAGAACTCACAACAGGAAGCAGCCGTGGGCGGAAGAGGTGGGGACGTTACACTAGACAAACTCTCTAAGTTCAAGCCTCAGGGAACAGGGAAAGTGGGAAGTGAGCCAAACCTGCCCCAAGGCAGTTCTCCTGGGAAGCAAGTGCAGAAGGTCCAAACCCAGAGCCTCCCAGTGTGGGCCTCAGGGCTCCAGAAGACGCATAGGAGAAAAGAGTGGATAATGTCGCAGGTGTTAGACTGGATACACACCCTCTGCGATACTGCCAAATATCCCTCCAGACTATCAATTTACAAACCATCAGCATTTACCCAAATGTATTCCTATTCCAAGTTACAAGGAGAGAAACATATCTGAAGATGCACACAAGTTATTGTCTATTACCAGGGAGTAGACTTGGTAACAAAAAGGTTCAATTTTTACTTTTTAACTTCACATGTTTCTATTTAAGTTTGTTATGTATTTAAAAAAATTAGTTAGCTATTTATTTTGTAATTAAAAAATACTGGTTAGGCCGGGCGGTGGTGGTGCACGCCTTTAATCCCAGCACTTGGGAGGCAGAGGCAGGCGAATTTCTGAGTTCGAGGCCAGCCTGGTCTACAGAGTGAGTTCCACGACAGCCAGGGCTACACAGAGAAACCCTGTTTCGAAAAACCAAAAAAAAAAAAAAAAAAATACTGGTTAAATTTCTCAAGTGAAAAAATACTTTCAGTGAAATTAAAATAGATTCCTAGAAAATACTGCACGTTTGTTTGCTCCCTGTGACGGTTAAGTTTATGTCTTACCTTTTCTAGATGTTCAACATCAGTCTAGATGTTTATTGAAGATGTACTTGAGATAAAAATTAACATTGAAGTCTGTAGACTTGAGATATAACAGATCATTTCACATAACATAGATGGCCCTTTCTTCCGATTAGTGGAAGACCTTTTTATTGGGACCCGAGGCTCCGTGAGGCTGGCCAGGGAGCCGCAGATATCCACGTGTCCTCACCTCCCCAGTGCTGGGATTGAACTCAGGTCCTTAGGCTGGCAGAGCAAGCGAGTCACCAACTGAGGTCTCTTCAGCTTTTTCCTTTGGCCTGTTCCTCCTAACTCTCCTTCCTTCTGACAGGGTCATGCTATGTACCTCAGGCTGGTGTCAAACCCTCAATCTTCCCACCTCAACTTCCCAAGTCCTAAAATTTCAGGTGTGTGTTATCACACTCGGGTAGCTGAAGACCTTGATAGAAAAAAAAGAAAAGGATTTCCCTTGAATAGGAAAAAAAAATCTGCTTGGAAACTGCCTGTGGACTTGAATGTCAGTTTATCCATGAATAGCTACCCAGCTTGACAGCCTACTCTCCAAGGTTAGGACTTATGGCTTCACAAATGGGTCTCTCTCTCTCTCTCTGATTTCCTTTTTATATTAATTAATTAATTAGATGTATATTTGTACTGTATCTGCATGTACACCTGTACTCCAGAAGAGAGCATCAGATCCCATTACAGATGGTTGTGAGCCACCATGTGGTTGCTGGGAATTGAACTCAGGACCTCTGGAAGAGCAACCTTAACCTTAAGTGCTAAGCAATCTCTCCAGTCCCTGACTTTCTTTTTCTTTATCTCTGTCTCTCTTTCTCTCTATAGTCACACACAGAGGGAAGCAAAAGTGTGTGTATATATATGTTATATATATATAATATGTATATATAAGAATATATATGTAATATGTATATTCTTATATTATATATAGAAATATGTGCATATATACACAGACTCATCTACACACCCCATTGACTGTTTCCCCCTGTAACTCTGATTAAAAGGCTATCCCATTTCATATTGTGTTATAATGGTAAGTGCATGCACAGACAGTTTGGATTGGATACACCCCTCTCTGCTACTAGGGCACCTCTCTGGGTCAAAGACTCTGCCTCTTACACATTTTGAAGTCTTCACTGGTAAAACATGGCAGACCCTCCCCAACAAGACATAAGCATTGTGGAGAATTCAGTTACCTAGTGCATACACATTGCAAATACTTGCTTTATGGAATGTTGAGGAACAGAAGGGGAGGATCTATTATTGCTGCATCGGCCAAATTTAAGGTTGTAGCTGCTACAAAACTCTGGCCTATCAAGTTCAGAGCTTGGATATGGTCAAATGGCAGCCACTCCTACAACAGCTACAGTAAATAGGGTAACTACGGTTGCCAGCTAGAATGATAGCAAAGGTAAGGACTCACAGGAATGCCATATCGGGTTCGGTAGAGAGTCCTCATCGCCACAGTTGTTCCACACAAACAACATTCATTCATGTCAGCTGCCACTTGACATCCAAGACAAGTGTAGCAAAAGGTCCCACAGAGGCCTGGAAACATGAAAACAAGGGTACACATTACTTTAGTCTGCCCTGTTGGCTACACCAAGATGAGGCCTTTCTCCTTTCTGCTGCAAGTCTGACTTCGTTGTTTGGGCGGGATTTCATTATGACCCCGCCCCATCATTTCAAGAGTCGACCATACATGGCAAAGATCTAGCTCTTTCCAGTAGTGGCATTCACGTATAAGTTTCTGAAACCTACCCATGTCCCAGGTAAAAACCTTGGTACTAACAATGTCCCCAGTCGCAATCCAGTAGGGATACAATAGGGAAGATTAGGAGAGAGGAAAGAGGGGAACCAGCCTAGAATGCTCGGGTCGCTTCAGCGTGGCACCTACAAGGAGGCCCTAAGTAGGAAGTACTTACTGCTTGAGCTGAACGGTGGAGCACGGTTAGGAATGTTTTCAATGGACTAAGGAGAACAAAGCCTCTTTGAGATCATTTGTCACATCCATTCACAGTGGCCAAGATCCTGGGATATGTGTGTGTGTGTGTGTGTGTGTGTGTGTGTGTGTGTGTGTGTATTTATGTATGCGATCAGGCCAGGAAGAACCACCAAGAATTTTGTAAGAAATTAATTTGGCCAGATGTTCATTTAAGAAAATCTACCATAAACCAAGTGGTGGTGTGCGCCTTTAATTCCAGTACCCAGGAGGCAGAGGCAGATGGTACTGAATTTGAGGCCAGCCTGGTCTACAAGAAAGAGTTCCAGGACAGCCAGGACTACATTGAGAAACCCTGCCTCCAACAAACAAGTGAGCAAACAAACAAAAGAAAGAAAAATAAGTAAATGAAGAAAAAGAAAGAGAGGAAGAAGGGAAGGAAGAAAGAAAGGAAGGAGGGAGGGAGGGAGGGAGGGAAGGAAGGAAGGAAGGAAGGAAGGAAGGAAGGAAGGAAGGAAGGAAATTTGCCACACAACAAGGAAGGCTGCATTGGAACTCACCCTGCCATCCCACACAAACTTTTAAAAATTACATTTTATTTAGTGTGTGCACACACGTGTGAGGGTCAGAGGGTAATTTTCAGGAGTTGATCCTCTCCTTCTACCATGTGGGCCCTGGGGAACAGAACTCGGGCTGAGAGGCTAGGCCACAGTCACTTTCCCCACGGAGCCATCTTGGTGGCCCTTCATTAAAACTCACATTTCCAAGTAAGTGTATATTCACATAATGGAATAGCAACTTGGAGCTGGAGGAGTAAAAGTTAGTCTTTAGGGACTTTGACTACTGTAGTCTAAATTTCGATTTTGATTGTCAGATGTCACAATTGTGTTGTGGGACCCGTTAGCCAATCAGCCACCATTTCCTAGTGAAGCCATGGAAAGTTGCGGACGAACTTGCCTGGAATTCGTTGCTTCTGCCTTCCATAAAGTTATTAGCTTCCTTCGGTTCTAAGTTCCATCCCGCTTCCAGTTGAAGCTTGTGAACTTCCTTACCGTTCTGAGGAGTAAGCTTCAAAGCAAACCTCTCCTCCCTGAATCGCGGAGGACAATTGTTGGTCCCCTTCACCACCCACCTCGCTTTCTTCCCTGTTTACTCAGAGAGATCTTACTGCATACAGGGAAACTTAACTGTAGGGATTAAGATCGTTCTCTGAGAGGGTGCGGAAGCTCTCTGAAAGTGTCCAGTGACTGAACACTATGTGACTAACTATAAAACAAGATTTAATGTATGTGCACCCAAGTAGAGATTTAATTGCTGTTGCTTTTTTTTGAATCAGGTTTAGGGGATTGGAAAGATGGCCCAGTGATTAAGAGCTCTGGCTGCTCTAATCTTCTACAGGTCCCGTGTTCAATTCCCAGCGCCCACATAGCAGCTCATACTGCCTGCAACTCCAGTTTCAGGGGATCCAACACCCCCATACAGGGCATATATGCAAGCAAAACACCAGTGCACATAAAATAAAAATAAATACATTTTTAAAAAGTCGGGCCGGGCGTTGGTGGCGCACGCCTTTAATCCCAGCACTTGGGAGGCAGAGGCAGGCGGATTTCTGAGTTCGAGGCCAGCCTGGTCTACAGAGTGAGTTCCAGGACAGCCAGGGCTATACAGAGAAACCTTGTCTCGAAAAACCAAACAAAAAAAAAAAAAAATAAAAAAAATAAAAAGTCGGGTTTAGCCAGATAGTGATGATGTAGGCTTTTAATCCCCACCAGAAGCAGATGGAGCTCTGAATTCGAGGCCAGCCTGGTCTACGGAGAGTTTCAGGATAGCCAAGGCTAAAACAAAGAAACCTTATCTCAAAAAACAAAACAAAATGGCTCAGGTTTAAGTAAAAATGTTTCATAAATAATCTGTTTATAATTACTAGGCCAGGCCCATTCAGTTTTAGAATCATTTAAGGCTTTCAATGTTACCTTAACTGAAGGATTTATTTTAGGGGTAACTTGATTTTTTTTTTTTTTATTGGTGGCTGGAGAAGAATCAGGTATAATGTGTAGACGGTCTTTGATGTTTGCTTGTACCATTCCCGGATTCTCAGGAGCCTGTAATGAGTTAGCGAGTTTCCACACAGTCAGAGAGGAAAGGGGGGTTGTATTAATTATAGGGACATCTTCCGGGTACTTACAGACTCCGCAGTCACTGAAGCAATCACACAGGCTGGTTTGCCAGTTGGAATTTTGGGGAGCACGAACAAATCCAGGTTGAGTCACGATGACTGTTGGTCCCTGAGCCATTTTCAATGCGAGATCTCAAAAGACCAGGTCTGAAAAAGAGAAATGTTGGTGTTTCAGCCTGAAGCTGCTCTAGAAGGCTCGGTGGGTGTGCCGGGTACCGCCTCTTAGCTAGCTAGCCCTTCCTGCTGTGCTCCACTGGCTAGGGACAGGAGGTGGTTGGAGAAATCAACTTGTTGATCTCTAAAGAGCCTTTCAGTCTCCACCTCCAAGAGAACAGAGCCCTCAGGGGAAAGGAATTCACTGAACTGGTAAGGTGAACAGGTGTCTCTCATGGGTGAAAGAAACGAAAGGGGATTGATGGCAGGCCATTTTTATACAGGTCCCTGCTGTCCAGAAGATGGGACTCGAACCATTGGCCTGGGACAGGGGTAGGGTTGGGGAACCGTGCAAAACAACCTCTTCTTAAACGAAACAGCCTAAGCTTAGTGCAAACCCACTCTCCTCCCTCTCTCGCTCGACAGCCTCGGGTTTTCACACAACTCTCCTGAATCCAAGCTGCTCCGTCATTTCACATTTACCAGAACCTGAACTTCCTATCCGTGCAGCTTAACCCATGACTCGTGGCAGGGGCTAGCGAGTCCTTATCGTCCCAAACGCTTTCCTAGTGTTCTGTTTTTGTTGTTGAGGATGCTGACAGCGAGTCCTTATCGTCCCAAACGCTTTCCTAGTGTTCTGTTTTTGTTGTTGAGGATGCTGACTTGTTTTCCCGAGTCAGCAGCTCATCATGTAGCCCAGGCTTGCTTCAAGCTCATGATCCTGCCCTGCTTCAAGCCTTCCGTGTGCTGGCATTACAGCTGTGTGTCAGTCACAATTCCCGCTGAGCAAAGCCTTTATGGAGTATGTTTTGTTAGGCTATTCCTACTTTCTCTTCATTACAGAAGAGTGCTGAGGTTCAGGGGTGTGACGTAGATTTGGAATGACAGTATCTTTTCTAAAGCCCTCATCTCTAAAGCCACACGATCTCAGACGAGCCATCTAACCAGTCATGTGATCTCAATCACTTACATTTTTATTTATTTATCTGTGAAATCAAAGTGGTTACTGGCTTGCCCACCTCACACGTGATCGAGAGCACTAAGTATAGTCTGTAGACAACTTTAATGGACAGCTTTTTAAAAATGAATACAAATCCATAGGAGAGTGCCATAACACAGAGAGATTTGATAAGGACATCTCTGTGGGTGGTAATGCTGTCAGCTGGTTTATCCACAGGCAAGGTATTAGAGCTGCATTGTGCATTTACTCTGCCATAGGAAATTATCATTTCTACAGATTTACTAAGAAAAACAGGAATGGTGGGGGAGGGGCTAACTCAGTTGTGAAACTCAAATTCTTTCCTGAGCTCTCTGCCTAGAAGCCCTGCTGTCATATGCTGCTGGCTTTACTCAGGACTGCCAATGGTCTATGAGGGTCTCTTGGAAAGCAGGACCCCCCCCTTTCTTATTTTAAAAAAAACAAACAAAAGTGTTTGTGTGTATTGTACATATAGTGTGTATGCAGTTGTGAGTAGTGTGTGCCTCTGGAGGCCAGAAGAGGGCGCCACACACCCTGCTCCATTTCTCAGTCCCTTGACACAGGGTCTGACCAGCAAGCCCCAGCCATCCCTCCTGTCTCCGCCCTCTAGCACTGGGAGACACGTGTGCAGACACTCATGGCTTTTTACTTGGGTGCTGAGGATCAAACTGAGCACCCAAGGTTGAGGAGCAGGCACACTCCCCTGCTTAGCCCCCACCTCAGCCTCCTTCCTCTTCTCCCACTGTCTTTAGCATCAAGTCCAGTGTTAAACTCACAGTAGGTGCTTTAACTTCGTTGCTGAATTAAGCAGCAAGGGTGTTGGGTCATTTTTATTTAGAGATTTGGACATATTTTTAAAGGCACAAAAGGGCTAGGAATGGTGGCAAACACCTTTAGTTCCAGCTCATGGGAGGCAGGGGCAGACAGGTGGATCTCTGTAAGTTCAAGGCTAGCCTGGTCTACATAGTGAGTTCCATGACAGCCTGAGACCATCTCCTAAATAGGATGCTTTTAAAGATGGACCATTTGGCTCTGTCTTTTCATATCAGTGAGGATTTTCTTCAGTCACCTTTGCTTTGTTCTCTTTAGATCTCATCTAGGTTGGTAGTTTTCTTGAATGAAAAAAGAGAGCGGTATATGACGCCAAGAACAACCTTAAATGAAGGGTATGAGCAGATGCTTCTCCACATGACTAGGAGTGTTCAAAGATGCTTGACTGACTCTGCATGTACTTTAGTATAGTTAATTATGAGCCAATCCAGCCCTCTGAATCCTAGCAAACAGCACACAAACAATGCTTGGTTATTTCAGAGGAACTAAACCATAAAATTGGTTTAGTTTTAAAAAGAGGCAGGCTGGGTTCACCTTTAATGCAAGCACTTGGGATAGCAGAGGCAGACATGTCTGTAAGTTCCAGGCCAGCCAAGGCTACATAGTGAGACTCTGTCTATAAGAAAGGGGGGAGACAAAGAGGAAGGGGCTTCTAAAGTTTTTTTCAATGTTTGCATCTGTTGGCCATCATCATTATATTCAGTAAATATCTCTATTAGTTCTTTTCCCTTTCCTGCTACTGAGTGGAGTATGCAAATAATGGGGCATTTTTGAAGATTTAGTAAATAAAGCAAGTATAAGGAGAAAGGGTGCCAGCCGGGCGGTGGTGGCGCACGCCTTTAATCCCAGCACTTGGGAGGCAGAGGCCGGCGGATTTCTGAGTTCAAGGCCAGCCTGGTCTACAGAGTGAGTTCCAGGACAGCCAGGACTACACAGAGAAACCCTGTCTCGAAAAACAAAAACAAAAAAAAAAACAAAAAAAAACCAAACCAAACAAACAAACAAAAAAAACAAACAGGAAAAAAAAGGAGAAAGGGTGCCAAATTTGACATTGAGAATGTTTAAAACAAACAAAAATCATCCACGTTGGACAGATGGCTCAGTGGTTAAGAGCACTGGCTGTTCTTTCAGAGGCCCTGAGTTCAATTCCCAGTATATAACCATCTATAGCTCATAACCATCTATAAAGAGATCTGGTGCCCTCTTCTGGCCTGCAGGAGTACATGCAAATAGAGCACTCATATACATAAGTAAAATTTAAAGAACAAATAAAGGAACCAAAAAAAAAAAAAAAAGGAAAGAAAAAATAAAAAACAAAACAAGAGAGACAGGGTCAAATAGTTTACAAAAGAAATGAAAAGGAAAAAAAACAAAAACCACGACCAACAACAAAAAACCCAAAAACCCACCGGGCAGTGGTGGCGCATGCCTTTAATCCCAGCACTTGGAAGGCAGAGGCAGGTGGATTTCTGAGTTCAGATTTCTGAGTTCCAGGACAGCCAGGGCTATACAGAGAAACATTGTCTCAAAAAACAAAAAACAGACAAACAACCCCCAAACCCCAAAAAAAAACAAACCTTAAGTATATAAAAAGATGCTGAGACTTTCCCATCAGTAAGGAAGAAGTGCTACCAGCTGAGCAAAACTAAGAACTCGGATGTTGGTGATGAGCCATTGCCAGCACCAGCAAGCTCCAAGGTTGATCTTTAGCACTAAACCTTGGTCAGAGCTCTCAGGAGAGAGCAGCTGCACAGACTTGATAGGGGTGAGTGCTTCTGGTGAGAATAGCTTTCATATTTCGCAAGCATTCTGTGGAGTAATATGGCTGTGACAGGGTTAACTTGGGAAGTACAAATGGTGGGGTCTCTATGAGGCTTCTGAACACACTAGAGGACGAAAAGATGAGCAAAACTTCCAACCAGGTAGCACATGCCTGTAGTCCCTGGTACTTGGGGAGCCAAAGCAGAAAGATCAGTAAGGCCCAGTTCTAGATCAGCCTGAGAGACACAGTAAGATTCTGTCTAAAAAACTAAAACTAAAAACACCTGGGTAGGTGCCAGGACCAAAGGAGCCGTGAGACAAGCAAGTTTACCAGCACATATAGATACACCGGTAGATACCGCAGAAGTATGTGAAGATAAATTCTGATTACGTCCAAAAGGAAGGTACACCTACTACCCAAATCTTGATTACCAAATGCCATTGTTCAATAAAAAGAGCCTGCTGACTTCAGGACTGGGAGGAGAAGGTCTAAGGTGAGCCTGGGACACATGGCTCAAGAATAGGATTTATGAATGAGTGAGTCACTGCTGAGTGGGGGTAGGAGATACTTCCAAGGAAGTTTATGGCCAAATTTAGGACAATTTGAGCAAAAAAGGTAATGTTATTAGACTACAACTCATAGAAGAAACTCTCCGCAGCTCTCGATATGCTATCTGTGTCTTATCTACGTGAGACTAGTATAGATAGCAGAATTTTAAATGGGAGAGAAAAGACTGCGTTTTCTTTGTTCCAATGAGTGTAGAAGGAATAACAGGAATTAAGACCAGCATTTGGCATACGCCATCGTGACCACCATAGGCAAGCCTGACGGGCAGAGTCTCTGATATGATTGAGATATTTTTCATTTTTACCTGTGGTTCCTGGCTTATTATTCCCTCCCCCAAACAAGCCATAAAGACTGTGATTTCACGTCCTCAAAGTCAACGAAACTAACCTTTCCCATCCTTCTGTCTTGGACTTGACCATAAGGACAGTTTCCTATCTCCTCTGTCAGCCAATCACACACAGCCACTGTAGGATCTGGTTCATGAGGAAGTGATGCTGAAGGAGCTGGCCAGGTGGGCTTGATGTTTCCCCACCTGGTCTAGGCATAGTGATCACTCAGCAGCATTCCCACCACCCGGAGGATGGAGCTTGCAGAGGGCTGGGAATGCAGCTCAGTTGGTAGAGTGCTTGCTTCGCATGCAAGAAGGTCTGCGTTTCATGCCAGCATTGTAAAACTAAACATGGTGACACACTCCAGTAATTCCAACACTCAGGAGATAGAGACAGCAGGATGGGAAGTTCAGAGCCAACAGCTATGTAGTGACTTGGAGGACAGTTTGGGCTATAGGAGACTGTTTCATAACAACAACAGCAAAAAGTCTGCTTGAGTCTGGATGCTTGTGACTTTGAAGCCAGT